GAACATATGTTCCTGTAGGTTCTACCATGCCAGGTAGGTCGATTGGAGAACGGTAAGACTAAAAGCAGCAACTCAAGGTCTGAGGGCGAAGTCATACTGCTGACTGTAGAGAGGTGTGACAGCAGTGAGGTGTTTCCCTCAGACAACCAGCATCTGCAGCGATGCTGCCTTCCCACAAGGAGGGATGGGGTTAGAAAAGGTCGACCCTAAAAATGTCACACTTCACCTTACCTCACGGATTTCCGTCTCCGGCGGTAAGGCCCTTTGAAGAACGGAGCTAACACATTAAAAACCCACGAAAAGGCCGTGCGCGACCGGCCTCAAGCAGTTGTCCCTTGGGCTCTGCAGTCACGCTCCCAGGTCTTTAAGACCAACACTAATCCAATTTCCTTTTCAGGTTCCTCAAGAAATACCCTTCCACGGTGTGGGCAGCCGGGAAGTAACACCAGCCCTCATACCGGTAACAGCACACGAGACCAAGTTGGTCACATTCAAATCCTTCCTACACCCCCTAATACCTCTCTTATTCCCATAACTAACCCTCCTCACGTCTCTTTATCACCTCGCACTGCTAGGGCGAACGATTTGTGTACGCGGAACGTTATTCCTGGTCTCCTGAAACCACGCTCTAAACTACACGTAGGAGCTTTTAACGTCCGAACACTGTGCCAAATAGGACAGCAGGCTTCCTTAGCTAAGACGTTAGAATCCCGCGTCATCGATGTGTGCTGCGTCACCGAAACGCGCATACAGGATCCGAGTAGCGTCATTCACTTGACCTCACCATGCCAAAATAAAGAACCGACTCGATCCACACTTCGTTTATCTGGAAGCCCTGACTCTGCTTCCCGTGGCCTCGCTGGCGTAGGTATAGCATTGAGTCCTAGGGCAGAACTAGCTCTCTTAGAGTGGATCCCAGTAGACAGTCGTTTGTGCTCTGTCCGACTAAACGGAACAGTAAGGATCCGAAAAGATAGGGACACTCGTCGTTGCCTCTTCGTCGTCTCTGGCTATTCTCCCACTGACTGCAGCACAGATGATGTAAAAGATGAGTTTTACAGAAAACTCTTCGACCTTCTCCGAAAAGCTAGGCGCTCGGATGTAGTAATAATGGCCGGTGACTTTCATGCTCAATTAGGTAAACTAAGAGATAGGGAAAGACACCTAGGTGGATCTTATAGCATCGTGGCTCAAAGAACGGATAATGGCGACCGTCTGTTGCAGCTATGTTCAGATAACCGCCTGTTCCTTGCAAATACTAACTTTAAGCATAAGGAAAAATATCTTTGGACATGGCGACCCCCTAATTCGTCCCAATGTTGGACCCAAATAGATCACATCGCTATCAGCCACCGATGGAGGGGCTCGATAGAAGACTGTCGCTCATTCTGGAGCACATGCTTAGATTCAGATCATGCTCTAGTACGAGCGCGTATCTGTCTGCGTCTTACTGGACGTAGGTAAGACGTTGCAAGTAAACCTCTTAGGGCCCTACTTAATGATAGTCAAGCTAAGAGTATATTTCAGGAACTTCTAGGAAAACAGTTAAGCAGCCATGTATGTGATGCCCACCCCGAGGCAGCATGGAATGATATCCGAAAAGCTGTGGAAACAGCAGTGATATCTGCTAGTAAGGTAAACCGTGAGGTTAGGGAGCAACACTGGATCTCAGCAGCATCTATCTCACTGATAGATGCTCGGAAACTCATTCCACCTGGCCCTGAACATAATGAGGAGCGGAGTTAGCTTAAGCGCAAGCTGACAAGAAGTCTACGCAATGATCGTGAACAGTGATGGGTAGCGAAAGCAAGAGAGATGGAAAAGGCAGCGGAAATAGGTAATAGCAGACAATTGTTCAGACTTGTTAAGGAAACCGGTATTAGGAAACCGACTGTTAGCGAAACACTCTCCGAGAAAGATGGACATATTATACATTCTCAATCCAGGAGATTGGATCGATGGGCAGAACACTTTAGGGATCAGTTCAACTGGCCTTCAGCCACATTTCGGTTTCTCACGATCTCCAGTCAACCTGAATGGCAAGTTAGTGTAGGTCCTCCGACTCTTTATGAAGTTGAAAAAGCCATAGGAAATTTGAAGCAAGGGAGAGCAGCAGGCTCTGACAGGTTTACTCCTGAGATTTTTAAGGATGGTAGTCCAGTATTAGCAGTGAGATTAACTGAGGTCTTAGGTAGAATTTGGGAACTGGACACCATCCCATCTGACTGGTCTCAATCACTGATTGTGCCAGTCTATAAGAAAGGACAAACGTCCTCTTGTGACAATCACAGAGGAATCAGTTTGACTAATATGGTGTCTAAAATATTAGCCTCAATAATACTTCGACGCCTAACCAAAGCTCATGAAGAACAGACTAGAGAAAACCAGGCCGGTTTTCGACTTGGACGTGGTTGTATAGACCACATATTCACACTACGTCAGGTTCTAGAACACAGACACTCGTTCAGACGCCCCACAATGGTGGTATTTCTCGACCTTAAGGCGGCATTCGACTCTGTAGATCGTGAGGTTCTATGGCAGTGTTTGTCACTGAAAGGAGTACCAAAGAAGTACATTAACCTTATTAAGGCTCTCTACTCGAACACAACTGGTCGAGTGAGAGCTTATGGCGAACTGTCATCAGAATTGATTACCTCAAGTGGTGTTCGTCAGGGCTGTCCACTCTCCCCATTCTTGTTCAACTTTGTGGTCGACGTACTTTTAGAGATAACACTCTCCTCATCTAAATTTCCAGGGGTTGAACTTCTACCGGGAGGTTCACTTGTTGACTTAGAATATGCAGATGACATAGTTTTATTTGGTGAAGACGCTGACAAAATGCAGAGTCTTCTGACCACTCTAAGCAACAATGCAAGCATGTTCGGGATGCGATTCTCTCCCTCGAAATGCAAAATGTTGCTTCAGGATTGGGTTACATCGACACCCGAATTAATGATAGGGAGTGAAGTAGTTGAGTGTGTCGATCGCTTCACTTATCTTGGAAGTCTCATCAGCCCTTGTGGTCTGGTGTGTGACGAAATCTCAGCACGGATACAGAAGGCTCGACTAGCTTTTACCAACTTGCGTCATTTATGGCGTAGGCGAGATATCCGTCTATCAACCAAAGGACGGGTTTACTGCGCAGCAGTCCGTTCCGTCCCACTTTATGGCAGTGAAACATGGCCGGTAAGAGTAGAGGATATTCGTAGGTTACTAGTATTCGATCATAGGTGTCTTCGAAATATTGCTCGTATATCCTGGGACCATCGAGTAAGTAACACAGTTGTTAGGAAACGGGTACTAGGTAAGGATGGCAAATCAATTGATGAAGTACTGAAACTTCATCAGTTGAGATGGCTGGGACATGTGTTACGTATGCCCAACGACCGACTACCTCGACGTGCTATGTTCAGTGGTATAGGAGTAGGTTGGAAGAAAGCTAGGGGTGGCCAGACCAAAACATGGCACAAGTCCATGAAGTCACTGACAAGTGGACTGAGTCATGTTGGTACGTGTAGATTACCTGGTTGGGGACCACGAGATGATAGCAACCGATGGTTAGAGACCCTGAATGACATGGCTCAAAATCGTTTGCAATGGCGCAGGTGCATACACTCTTTGTGTTCTCCCAAATTTTGATCTCCTTATTCCTCCTTGTCTCTTTTTTCTCTCTTCCCAAATTTATTTCACTGTATTATACTCTTTAAATAACATCTCCAAACTAATTTTCCTGATTACTGCTTATACTCTTGCTACCTCTACCACTACGGGATTTGAATCGACCACTGCATCTCGGTGCTAATGTGTTTTGGCAACTCGAACTGATGTACGTACGTACGAAGTTCTACGTTGTTACTGACTGACTGACTGCTGTTGCTTCAGAATTCGGTTGAGCTGGTCATCTGATATCGCCATCTTGAATGTGTTTTCCTTTACACGTCCCCACTGTTATGATCTCTTATTACGACCCAGTTACTCTTATTACTTAGTATTCTTTGGAAACTACTTCACTCAGCAAGTCTCCAGCTCAGAACACGGTTGATCAGAAACGTAATTATGTTCCAAATAAACAAAGTTGAATGGAAGTAGGAATCACGATAAGAAAAACGTTAGTACATTTATAATTCTACACAATAAGATTCTAGAATATTTTCCAAGGATCCTCTAGCGTTCATTGGCTAAGAAATGACCAATCATTGTGCCCCAACACAATACTGCAAGGAACATGCTGCAGTCGTATTCATATCCCATATAAAATATGATAGCTGCCTATCTTTACACGTTTGATATTTTACATTGAAGTTTTCTGTTAATCAATTTGTTCGTTATTAGTTATGTTTTGTTTCTCTCATAATGGTTTTGTTCTGATCGATAGACCAGTTGTCAATATTGCTGTTAGACATTCAATGTTTTTGATATTTTTTGTGGTTATCTGCTACTTTTCAATTGTTTATCATCTCCGCATTCTTAGTTATCAGAAGTGACTTTGTGAAGCAGAGCTTTTTGTACGACAGTGGTTGTTGTTATTTGCAATCACGCATATTCAACTAATGTGAGTTCAGCGTTCACACTGTTGTACTAGTTATCTAAGTTTTCACTTTGCATTACATCTTTGACCTGAGCAAATACATGTGGGCCTGTGAAAACAATGTTTAGTTCGGGCCATTTGACTTTATTCTTTAATGTGAACATAAAAATGATTTTAAAATCCCTGAAAGGATAATAACTAAACATCAAAAAATATGTATTGTTACATGAGTGAACTGTTTAATCATCTGAAAATTCTTTTACTTCATTCACAAAAGCTATTGCTTTTACGACATTTTAACTGGAAATTGATGTAAAAACTAGTTTTTTAACGTTGGAACAACTGAGACCACACTATGTACTTGACAAGTAAAAAACTACAATTGCTTTAGAAAGGTATTCTAGGTTTTACTAAAATTTCTCATTTGGGGAAAGCATACCTTACCTGATTATCTACTACCATTTGCATTTCAGATCCACTGATCTAAGAAAGTAATTTTAAATTTCTTAGACAAAAAAATGAAACATGGAGTCGGCAACTATTAGAAGTCAATTAATGGTACTTTTTGACAATTTAAAAAGTATTCAACCAAATGAACGGGATAATTTAATAACGTTTATAAAAAAGAATTTGTCACAATTACAAGAAAATAATGAAAAAAACGATGTATACCAGAGTAGCAATATCAGCAGTAACAGCTATCCTTGTTTTTGCAGTGAAAATGTGGATAATACTACTACTGTTATTACTACTACTGCCACTACTACTAATGTTAGTTTAACTAGTAGCTCCTCAGCGTATGCGAATGTAAAATCTTCAGAATTATATGACTTAACAAATATCAATGTAAACAGTCTTCAGCTATCGTTTGAAGCAACTCCTGAATCAGTAGCGACATTCATCGATGAAGTGAATGATTTTTCTACACTAGCAATACAACACAATACTACTGGCCTAACGGGTCATAATTGCTCAGGTTTGTCAAGCGTTTCTACCATTATTAATGATAACTTCCATTTTAGAGGCAATCTGTGTGAATGAATGTTTATCCATGGCTACAAATGCTCCAACATTTAACTGCTCAAATTTAAATAGTGAATCAAATTTTCATGAAACGGTACGTTTTTGTGAATATATTTAGTATGGCCATTATATGTTCATTTTATGTTTAGTTAAACACATGGATAAGTTTATACACTAGAGTATAAGCTCCATCTGTCATGTGACAAGTAACAACACTTCCCGAGCGCGTATACTCAGTCGTAGCCATTTTGTCGAGGTGCTTAGGTGTGCTTATCATCGTGACAAACCAATTGAATTAGATTGTTTGAAATAATTGCTTCTGCAGTTTTTTCATGTCATACAGGTCGATTAGAGTAGTAAGAGTAAAAAAAACAAATGAGAGGGATGATGAATTCTTACTGCCGATTGTACTTGGGTGTGGTAACGTTCAGGTGTTTCCTTTGGATAAAAAGCATTTCCGGCAATGCGGCTTTTTCAAAATAGGAATAGATAAAACATGTCAGTCGTAAAAATAGTACTTTTCACTTTACCCTACGGATCACCTGTACCAGCAGTAAAATTTGAAAAATACGGAGCTAATGTATCGGAAAATACCCACATGAGGGGAGTATTGTAAAGCAGCTTCTCCGTTTGCTCTGGAGTCAGTTTTCCAGTTTAGTAAGACCACTAATAACCCAGATTCCTTTTCTGTTCCATCAAGAAGAAACTTCCTCTTGCAACGCTGGCAGCCCGGAAATGTCAGTAACTTCCACTTCTAGCAAAAATCTAGCATGTATGTAGTAGTTGTTAGTACACTTTTAAAACAAGCAGTTTTGTGATAAAGAAATTTTCGTACATAAGGTTAATTAGAATAAGCACGGTACGTGTGAATAATGTAGTCTAGTGTTGATCACTATGTAACCATGTTTCTAAATAACCCTAATTATATTTTCACAAATGATATACGTACTGCTACTTACATATTGCAATGGATTGCTAAAACACTACGAAAACTGTAAGTACATCAGAAAAACTCTTGTTAAATCCATTCTCACAAATGTACTCTTGGCGATGTGAAGCAGTGACTTAGTAATTTATTTATTTGAACATATAAATATTGGTACAAGGGGGCATCAGATACATATGCGCAACACAAGTCACTTAATTTGTGTGTAGGCTGTGACACTAACCGGATGCCCAAGCCAAAGCAGGTGGTTTCCTTAAGGAGCCACGCCCAGAACCTTCGACCTAAAGGTCTGAACCACAAGGCAGTGGAGCAATGTCAGGAGGTACAGTCCCATGGTAACTGGTGACCAACGATTGGTTCATACGCCATTTGTTCCTTCAAGATTCTGGAGCCCATGTGGACCATTGGTTTGGAATCAGGGTTTTCCAACTTTCCTAGGTGAACTCTCCGTGTCCACCAAGTCGGTTAAAGCGTCGAACACTAGCCTTTTGTCCTCTCAATTTTGAAAACAACACCCGTGCTGCGAGAAGGCAGTGAGTAGGACTTCCCTGGCAGAGGCTATATGCGCGTGGCCGTGCGAGAGCATTTCGAGGGAAAGCGAACTCTCCCTACTTTCGGCCTTACCAGGGTATTTGGGGGCTAAACCACCAACACACACTCGAACGTGCATCAAAAACTAGTTTATTTTATGCCCTTTACTTGATCACGGCTAATGCGGTATACGGCTATCGGCACTCAAACCTGTGTGTCGCATATGTATTCGGTGCCCCCTTGTACCAATATTTATATGTTCAAATAAATAAATAAATATACCAGCCAGCCTTGTACGTTAGAGTAAGTTGTTACTGGAGATGCATAGTAATTATGCTTCATTGAAGATGCTCCTTGTTTCTGACAATAAAGTTGTTTATTTACCTCAATATTTCCAAGGGCTTTTACTTTCTCGTTGTTGCTATTAAGAGTTATTGATTAGTCTCTATTAGTATATGTTCATCCTCATCGGATTGTCTCGATACTGCCATTGAATCAAAAGTTTTTTATTAAAGTCGAACAGTATCCAGTATAGAATGCAGGACACACATGGATAACTAACGGTACTGTATTCGAGTCTCAATGTGAACACAAATGCTGGGGAGCAATCAGGTTTACACCCGACTGACGAGTCTCAAAGCAAGACAAAGCTTAAGCCCTGAGCTCCAATGTTTAGTACTACCCTTTTTCATTGTTTAGAATATCTGTGGAAGTCCTTAGAAGCCATGTTCTTCAACTGTCTCATTGTTCCACAATTTTCTCAAACCCAAATGTTTTGCTAGAATCGTGTACATAAATGATTTCCTAGATTTCGATTCATCAGCACTCACCCGGATAGTAGATTGCCAATACAAAACCACAGGAAATCGCACGCGTTTGATGTTTTCATCAACACAGAAATTGGATGATCTCTCACTGACTATTCTTATGTTCTTCACAGCCACTATCACTGAAAAGCTTAACGCATTTGAAAGTATCTGTTTTCGCAAGTATATTATATTTGCAAATAAAACATTTCATGGATTCGCTGAGTTATTTCTAAATTTGGTGTTTTTGTTGGAAAGCCTTATTTGGTGAATAATGTTAATGTATCACATTCACCAAATGTTTTTCTATGGTATTCATTTTATGAATTCGACTTTCAGCTACAATATGTGTAAACGCTAGCAATACTACCCGACCGTTCAAACAAAAGTAGTCGAAACTTGAATACTTTAACTTTTGATTTACTGTTCAACAAAGATGAAGTAAATAAAAGTTACATTTCAATTACTTCAGTTTTTTCTTCATTATCTACTTTTCAGCTTCAAGAACAAAATCCTATCCCATTAGACAGTAATGTGACCGATAATAATCACACATCGAATTCCATCATAAATTATGAAGGATCCAATTATGAAACCTACTTGAATTGTCCATTATGTCGTGTTACATTTGAAAATTGGCCAAATTTAGAGTGTCATCTATATAATGATCACGTAACAAATAATGTAGAACCTGTATGCTGGCGATGTCAAGGTATATTTAAAAATCATGCTGTTCTTCTAGCACACGAATGCTTTGATTGGGGTCGATTATATTTACCTTGTACAGTGTATATGAATAAATCACTGAAAAGTTTTCATAAATTTTCGAAAATCGATCTAGAGAAGAAACAATTTCCCATGGATGGTGTATTTTTAAGTAGACGTTGTGGATTATGCTATAAATCTAATGTTACGTTCACATCGTATGATGCATTTGAAAAGTGAGTTATTGTGAATTTAAAAAGAAATAATTAATTGATAATACGGAGAAGATTTTCACCAGTCATGTGTAGTTAACGTGAGATTTTGGATAATTCTTATTAGTTCCAGTTTCCAAACCCCGCATTACCACAGCGAAAAGGGAGATTAACATGATGTGAGTGACAGGGATCAACATAAAATTCAGTGCAAAGGTAAACATGAGAAATGTAGTTCATTTAGATGATTTCAGTTAGACAAATGAAAGTATAAACAACGAATTCGAGATTTTGAGGAAGATAAAGAATGCCGTCAATTATGATTTTCTTTTGTTCGTCCTCGGATCATTTTTGGAGCTTTACAGACAAGCTTTGGATAGAGCACTATTTAATCATGTATAGAAATTGTATTTAAAAAAAGAATGGATAGGAGATAGTCATAGTTGATAGGCGTCTGCGAGATCATGGCTTGTCAGCCAGTATAAGGAAACCAGATGAGAGGAATGGGATGTGATACGGTCGGAAGGAAGCTACTCTTTTCAAGACTTAGCTTCATAGGTTATGAAACAACCGCTGAAATAGTAGCTCCTTGAGACAGACGAAACTAGACAAATTCCCACCTCATCTACATCCAATTATGCTTACCAATTTACATGTATATGTCGAGGCGCATACATCGATAGAACAGAAAGAAAGGTATTTATTCACATCTATGAGCATATTCCACAGAAATAGAGACTAAAAGGTCAGCGAATATACATTTCAATGACAAAGTCATAAATAGTTGTTCCTTGTTTATAATTCCACGTTAGTTGTTTTCTGTTGTGATCTAAACATTACCCTGCTATTCGAACCAAACTAGGTCCAGTGATATTTAACTCGATAATTCTCCTGTTGCATAGTGTCTAAATTCCTTACTCATGATTACGCACCTGTAAAATTAACATCAACACCAAATCTCATGATTAAATCACGACAACTCTCGGTCAAAAAACTACGTCAGGTGTAAACTACTTGGTTAGGGTTTGTTCAGTAATGATGATCAATAGTTGGGGAGCTTGAATGTCATGACTCCATCGTTTGCAGTAGAATAGAAGTATTCTACTGAAATCCGGAAATATCCTCTCTAAGCTAATCACCAGTGAGCATATGATAATTATCAATGTAGGGGTTACAGTGAACAAAATAGTTGTCCAGAACTTCCAGGTTTTTAACGTTTATCTAATTCAAATCGGTTCGTTATCACAATAACATTCAACAATCTCCACAACTCCTTTACTAATAGATGTATTCGTCAGTGATAATTTAATTTGAGTTATTTTTAATTTATTTGCTAGTTATGTGTTGCTTTTTTGTTGTTACACTCCTTAGACATAAATCATCTTCACATTCAACCACAGGGAGAGATGGCGGTTATGGACCTCCTACTTCTTGCACAGAAACATCAACTTATACTCCGTCGTCATTATTGACATCAACTCGTAAAAAGAAACAGTCATTAAAGGTGTGTTTTGTTTCGATGTGTATATTGCATTTCTTAATGAAAATAATAAGTGGATTCTGTCTCAAAAATGTTGAGATGTTGAAATTGAGATAAAATGTATTCAGGAGAACCATAGAAACTGAAAAAAAACCAGTTGGAGGTAAAATGTCTATGGAAAAGATGGAACGGAAAGCGGATGACTGTAAAGGAAAAAATATGAAGAACAAAGGAAATTATGAAACTTTAAGACCATGGTAAAAGAAGAGGTCCTACAAATTTCTTTCGGACACACAAATCTCATTTTCCCAGATGTATGGCTCTTGCTTCGGCAATGTTAAGAAGATGCAACTTAACTGCATTTGATAGCCTTCGGCTTACCTTGTGGATGACTTTGGACGCAGAGTCCGCCTTGATTGAGTGACCTGTATTCTTAAGGTGTTCGATTATCGAGCTTCTTGTTGAACCGTTTCCGCCTCTTTTTAGCCACATCGGGTTATATTCTTGATTTCGTTTGGATGAAGTACGCATCAAACATCCTATATATTTGACTTCGCATGAGCAGGTAAATTAGTAAATGCACATAAAGTTAGTCAGATGAAATAATTTATCGGAAATTTTCCTCTTTAGGATGTTTGTAGCTCTATCACCCTTAAAATCGATGTTCATGTATCGTGTTTTCTCTTCGACTGAGTTTGTTTAAGTTTTATATTCTTGTCAATAAATATCGAAGGATACTTCAAGAGGTTCAATTCTTTATCTATGTCCTCGGGACTGCAAATCCTTCATATTCGCGTAGCGAGTTATATTATTAGGTTTCTCTTTCGACTGATGGAGGAGATCTTTGAGAAATGTTGAATTCTAATAGCGAGATACATGAACGAATATAATCGATAACATTTTGTGCATGAGGTTTAGGAGATTTGGAGTTTGGATAAACATAGTTTCTTCGAATAATTTTCCAGTAGCATTTTGCATATTTGTGCTTGTTAATACAATCATTAAGAAAGATAACATTCTCATTCACCTCAGATCTGGCGGCCTGCTTGAATATCTGGACTACCTGTTTCTGCCATCTGATTATTTCAACAAGTTATCTGTTTTTCATTTGTTTTAATTTATAATTATGTCCATTAATCGCATAACCTATTCAGGCGCTTTTATGAAAAGCCTACGACCTTCCGCTGCACAGGTTACGAAAAAGTACTATAAAAGGCATCGTGGTGGTTGGCAATATGCGTTAAAGAGAATGAACATTAATCATATGTCAATTCCCGAGCTACTAAATTCTAACTGCCGATCACTAATCAACAAAGTGGACTATCTGCAATTCTTACTTAGTCAAAATACGTATCGTAATTGTGGTGTCATCACAGTTCAAGAATCTTGGTTGAATGATTTACAGGATGACTACCTTGTATCACTACGTGATTTTAAAATTTATCGTCAGGATCGATCGAACAATAAAAGAGGTGTGATGGCGGTGTAGCTACGTTTGTAAACATAAACTGGTGTCGATCTTCGTTTGTGTGTTTTAAGTTTTCAAATGACTTTATCGACTGTCTAACTCTAAGATGTCGTCCAAAACATCTGAATAAATACAAATATGTTTATGTGACCAATATCTACGTGACTCTAGATTTCACATCATCTGCACTATCTGTTTTTGCTGATGGATTCACTGAGTTCGCTGTTACTGCCTTCAGTGATTCACTTTCAGTTGTATGTGGTTTTCTTGTGCTGAGAATTTTATATTGTACCAAAATATAATATTGAATAAAGCCATTAATAATAATAATAAAAAGTTTGACAGAATAACACAGAAACCCATTAAGTTCCTTTAATATCGAAGGGTCCTTGGGATTCTTCAGTAAATTAATCGTTGATTGATTGAATTCCATCAGTTGCCTTACTGAAAAATACCAACTAACATGAATTTGAGATGCAGGTCTACTGTTGACCATCTGCAACCACGTAAGTCGTAACACTACCCAGACGAACAGTGATCGAGCTCATGAACTGATACTTTATCTTGCTCATTCCTTCCTTAAACGATTTTTAGTCTACTTTCAATTTGGGCATGGTCGACTAGTAATATCTGTACCCTAACGCTAAGAAAGTTCAACCTATACCCCTGGTAAATGAGTTACATTATTGATAAGTGAAAGTTAGCATATCCAATACTACTTTGTTAATTTACTACACATTATTTAACTTTCTTATTTTGTGAATTTTTCTTGTATTCTTCATCACTCCTCTGAATTGTATATCTTTACTTTGTAGTGCAATTCACCATCAGATGAACATCCATCATCCGATGTAGCTGTCCGTAGTGTAGTGCGTAATCTAACCGAACATTTCTATGCACTAAATTATCATCAAGAAGGACGGAAACGACGTGAACGTGAGAGAAGAGTCGTTTTCGATAATAATCATAGCTCAACAAAATTTATCAAAGGTAGCCTAGCTACTGATTTGTCAACCGAAGATAGTATAAGCCATACAAAAACTATGTCAGTAATAACAACGACAGAAGATAATCCCATCACCAGTACTACTACTACTACTACCAACGCTACTGCTGTTGATGTCATTATCTCTACTATCACTAACACAAAAGATGTGGGAGAAAAAGAGACGACACTTACCTCGTTGGATATCAGTAACGGTAATAATAATAATGATAATAATAATAGTGATAGTGAACAAAATAGAAAGTCACCAAATAACTGTAGTCCATCGACATTCTTAACTAGTCTGTTGGTTGCTCAACGGGTTAAACATAATCTAACATTGAAAAATAAAGTAAGCAGTCTTTTTTCCTGTTTAGTTCTTCTGTATATATTTGTCAGTTTTTCAAAAAAAAATTTTGTAGTTTAAAGGAGGTGTTTTCCAACTATTCAATGATTTTCTTTTTCACGTATTTCCTGGTTGTTTGTGGGTTTGTGCCTGATAAGTTAACTTCTTGAAAATTTCTTCTTCTATCTAATAATTTGAAAGTGAATTTGTGAATATTTATTTATTTAAAAGCATTCTTCATAACAACACATTCACTAAACGTATGATGAAAGCACTGGTACGGCCGAGAGTAGGGAGAGTTCGCTTTCCCTCGAAATGCTCTCGCACGGCCACGCGCATATAGCCTCTGCCAGGGAAGTCCTACTCACTGCCTTCTCGCAGCACGGGTGTTGTTTTCAAAATTGAGAGGACAAAAGGCTAGTGTTCGACGCTTTAACCGACTTGGTGGACACGGAGAGTTCACCTAGGAAAGTTGGAAAACCCTGATTCCAAACCAATGGTCCACATGGGCTCCAGAATCTTGAAGGAACAAATGGCGTATGAACCAATCGTTGGTCACCAGTTACCATGGGACTGTACCTCCTGACATTGCTCCACTGCCTTGTGGTTCAGACCTTTAGGTCGAAGGTTCTGGGCGTGGCTCCTTAAGGAAACCACCTGCTTTGGCTTGGGCATCCGGTTAGTGTCACAGCCTACACACAAATCAAGTGACTTGTGTTGCGCATATGTATCTGATGCCCCCTTGTACCAATAACTGTGTTCGATTAAAAAAAATTTTTTTCTAGTCCTTGGTGTTGATCGATTTGTAGTGTGGGTATACTGGTCTTAGTGGTTAAACGTTGTGTCCATTATGTATTAGTGTTTGGAGGTTAGAAGTTATCAAAAGAAAGCCCTGTTTGACTTCGGTTTCATTCCAATACGTACTTACTAATAGGTTGTGCGCGGAATCTCAAGGTAAATGATGCTCTTCGTGATTATCAAATTCATATCAACCAGCATACTAATCAGAAACCTTACTGAACTAGTCTGGTCACAGCCTCGATTACCATCAACAACACAACATATACCGAAAACTTGGGAATTATTAGATAGTTCATTTATTTTCAAGTGCAGATTTGTGTACACTATACTTTGAACCATACTTGTTGGTCATAAAGTAACCCGATCTTCTGAATGGAGAGGTTCATGCCTTATCAATTAATACGAGCATATAAAGACTCAACTGTTTCTTTTTTGTTTTCTTGTCAGCCTCATCATGAATATTGTACGAGTGATTGAACACCGGTTTTAGCCATTAACTACAAGATTCGAACTATACTACTCTTACTTCGGTTTGGATATCTGCGTGGTATCACTAGTCTTCATAGAAACAGTTTTAACTTTAAGCCTAGTATATTAACTTGTATTTAGTTAACAAGCTACAATACAGTAATTCAGTAATTTGTTCATCATGGAACATAAAGCTTCTTGGTTCGATCTCGTTATTTGCTGATTCCTGTTGTTGAGTAATTATACACTCAATGTTTATCTTCGTTGGGATCGCGTAAATGATTAGAAAATGTGATGTAGTTAATATCTATAGTTCTGACTAACACAATAGGAGAACGAAACCAACTATGTTTTTGTTATTATTATATCACCAACAATGATCTCTTCCAAGTGTGTTACAAATCAACAAATTCTCTGTTTCGATAAACCACACATTATTTCACACTTGATATTTTATCCCAAAGAACCGTGTTAAATCGATTTAGAAAGTCCAATGGTTCCTCATGCATTTCTATTTCATTGTATAAATTGAAGTAATGTAGGTTTCCATTTGGTTATTCTGAGTTAATACGATGTGCAACAAAGAATGTATTGAGTAGTCACTGAATAAGACGTTTTATTTATCCAAGTAAAATTTATAATTTTCAGTAGGTTTTTCTCTCATAAAGTGTCATTAAATTTATATTTTCAACCTCCGTCAATATAGCATAATCGTGTGACAATGGACTCGGTAAGTTATCTCAACACTTTACTGATTCTACAATCCACCGTCACTTTTAAAAACTATGCATTCTGTTCACTAAACGCATAACCTCAGATTCTAATATTATAGGTGCATCAGTCTTAAGTTCCCTAAAATACTTTCGACTCGTCGCAAATGCTTGTTTCGTCCTTTTTTGAATTGTCTTACACATTTCTTGAAATATTCAGAGTTCCAGTTTTTCAGCTGAATCGTCGTTTCTCATTCTATTGTTTCCGCGTTGGCCCAGTGCTGTTGCAGGATATCGGGCAGAAAAGAAGAAATCTCAAAGCAATCTACCTGCTGATTGGGGTGGGTGATCTAATGTGATATTTGACTTACAGGTCATAAACGTGTGGATAATAAGAACTAGCGAAATTGATATCTCAGTCGGCGCATTTATTTGAACGAATAGGCAGTGGTAACTTTAATCGCTTACTAGCTAAATAAAAACAGGTTACTAAGGTAAAACTAACTCAGAGTAATCAGAGTTCTAATACAATCCGATTGTTATTGTGTGTATTTATGTTTTAACAGCTTTAGTCACTCAGTCGGTATATGCTTTATACAGCAGTTGAAAATTATTTTAAAGCTATGGAAATCTTTCCACAAAACATCGTAGTCAATTTGCAGTTGTTGTATTTGAAATACACTTTTTAAAATCTCTCCCAAACAGAATGATTATTCCTATTTAATACATGTTTTTGTTATCGTCTTTTTTTACTTAAGCGTGCTCGTCAGTTAAAAGCAGTTGCTTTTGAATGTGATTCTACTGAAAAACATGTAACTGATGAGGTTGATGAGCATTTAAGTACAACAACAGCGCTGTCGTGTGATGTTCCTCCTTCTCCATCGATCGGTAGCCATATTTCCGAAGGCGAAATTCAATTTTTTCATAATAGACGAAGTTCATGGTTACATCGTCATAAGAACACTAGACGTTTAAAATTACAATTGAAACGCAAAACGACAATTAATGGTCGTCAGAAAATCAGTGTTTCGACATCGTTTACTAATAATGCAATTAAAATTCGACGATTTATTTGTAATCATTGTTCAGCAGTTTTTCGATTGTCATCAAGACTGCGAGTAAGTAGCGCTTTCGTTTACTTAAACACAAACATGTTTTTCCTGGAAAAAGTCATTATCTTATCCTTTAAATTTTTTTCAGTGATATCACGGTTATAAAGAAGGAACGTAAAATGAGGTATTGAACTCAAATAATAGAACTTAAAAATAATTGAATAATGATGTTTCATAGACTATTGTATTGTAAATACAAATCCAGTGATCACAATTGATTGATCACTGTGTGGTAATCAATGTCATATGTGTCAAGTCCTTCTTAGTGCAGATAGAATGCTATCGACCAAGTTGCAATGTGGCCACCAGTCTAGGTGACCCAACACTTAAAATAGACGAATACATCATATGAGCTTTGATTATTCATCACTGCGGTAAAAGATTAGAGGAAAAGCATAAACCCTGGACTTGCATTAATTTTAGGTGTTCGAAAGCAGTAGATAGAGAACCAGGACCTAGGTTACATACTGATTCTCAATTGTCAGAATAGCTTATCTGTGGTCTTATGGTTCTCGTGAGACTCAAGTCCGTATCATCCAGTATCGTAGTCTCTAAGACATTACCGCTTCTAATCTATTCATATCGTATTCGTATTTTTTTTTACTTCGCTGCGTCAACATTCTTCCTTTCTGTTTTTGGTTTCTACAGGCACACTATTTATTTCAACACGGTCATATCCCAGAATGTCTCGGAGGCTTATCACCGAGACCAAATGAAATTTTGTTCAACAAGCAACGGAATATTAGCCGCAGTCGTAGTAGTAGCAGTAGTAATAATAATGATGACAGTAATAGTAGAATTAATCATATATCAGATTGTGCAACGTCTCAAAAATCATCACTACATAACAGCGAAAATATGAGTTCATCTTTGAAGATTACTAATGCCACTACTACTACTACTACGACGACGACGCCGATGACGGTCACTTCCACCTTTGTATTGTCAAGTATCCCAAATGAGTCCAGTAGCCTTCCTCCTTCAGGATTGATCACAAGATTAAGGAAACGTAAAGCTGTTAGTGACAATAATGATAATAATAATACAACTATGGATACTTCTATTCAGTCAGCAAACCAGTTAACTCAAAATGCAAGACGGATTAAAAAACAGACCAGTGATACTCTAAATAATAATCATAATAACGAGAATGAAGTTACAGGCTTAGTAAGTTAAAATGTAAATTTGATTAGGTTAACTGATTTTTTAAAATAGGTGTTAGTGTCGTTGTCTTGGAGCTATATTCTTTAGTGAAGGAGGGAGCTGATAATACCACTATCCAACTATTCTAACTAGTGAGTTTTAAAGTATCCTACTTCTAGCTGATCAGAAAGGGGAACGAAATTCCCTTTTTCGGTTCTTGCCGAATAACCGTATCTGGTATAAATTAATATCAGTTCAACTGTAGTTTCCTCAATTTCGCAACAAACGAGAACAAAAGGTGGTTTCTAATAAGAGATCTTTAACTATTCCTAGTATAAGTAATGTATACAACTAATCTGTTGATAACAGCAATGGTCGTCGAAACAAATAGCAAAATAGGAAACCAGGAGAAAAAGTAACCATTGAGAAAGTAGTTAAGATTGAAGTGACATTTAAGAACATTTAGATTAATCTTAACTTATTTGAGCGTCAAAACTACAAATTAAAAAGATAGTCTGAGGCCTTCTTATTGAAACAGGATTATTTGAACCTGTTTAGTAAATTATTTTACCATTATGGCATAGTGAATCTTCATTTTTTTTGTTTGAATTTGGTACTTTTCCAAAAACTGATATTGGCAACAGAATTTCGGAATATTTGTCTACCTCTTAATTTGAACCCACTAGCAGTACTCACTGACAATGCTCTATGGAATATTAACTAAGGGATTTAAATTTGATGCCAAATGTCGTAATGTTTAATCACTAAATCAAAATCATTTGGTCCATATATCAATCCCTGTCAATTTTTGACAAAATGAAACCTCCTTTAGGTGTCATCTGTTTATCATCGTCTCATTTTCGACCTTTTTGTCTTTACATACCACGGTTTTTTTAATCAGGACTTGAGTATAAGTACTATCCAACGCTTCCAAATCAATAATCGAGTTTTACTGAAAAAAAAGTACTGAGAACAAGGGCAAGAAGTAATCTAAAACTAATGTTGAAAATGGATTACATAGTGATTATCTATAAATTACAATATTAAAAACATAATTAAAGGAAAGATAGATTGTTTATATAATTGAGTGCTTTTATGGAGTTACAGAATGTACTACAAATCTTAAAACAACACATGTCTGTGTCAACGTTGGATGACACAAAAAGTCAATTGAGCGATGGGCTGAATTTAAGACAGGAATAATTTTAAAAGGATGGCACGAAGAAGAACGTTATATGAAGAAAAGAAGAAGAAATGCAATTTCACTTAGAACAATGAATCAAAGTTCCACATAAATGTATAATGGCTCAAACTACTTAGTAATAGTCAGTAGTATGGCGCATGGTGTAAATAAATAATCCTGTTACTGCATTTTTGGCATTTGTTTTGAATGATTTAATCAAGAAACCTTCAATGTCATTCTGGATAAAATCATCAAGCGGGAAAAAACTAAAAGCTAGAACTGGGCTGCTGTCCCTTTTGTATATGCATATATATCCAAAATGTGTAGGTTCAAGCAAAATATTTCTACAAACAAGTTCTAATGAAGCTGTAGTTTAGCTAGCTAGAAGTAGTCGGTTTTCAACCAATAAGTTTCAACTTCCCAGCTAGCTACTTCGGTTTGGGTAGTCATTTGGTTAGCATCACTGGCTTTTCACTCGTACTTTTTACATGAGTTTTAAAAATATGTAAGTGAACAACGTTTTTATCTTCTGTTTCATCATCCCTAAGTCAAAATTACGTCAGGCATTTTTGTCGAAGACATTAAACATATTGAATAGGCGACAAGACATAGAATACATCATATGAAAGATCAACGAAGATATGAAAGATAAGCTTTTTTGACTACCTTCAAAACAATAACTCTTCAAGTGAGGAGTTTTTACTAATAAATGTTAATCTAGACTTGTAAAAAATGAATAACAGTTCGAGGCTATTTGTAATGCTACTATTATTAATACTACTACTGTTGTGAACGGGAACACAAGTGGGAACAACCAACATATTTTAATACAAAATTACAGAGTATCTTAGTAGAATATAAGAACCATACATAAAATACTTCATTTGAAAATATTCCATTAACTGTTCTTTGCATTCTGTATGATTCTCCAAGTTCGAAATTCTTTCCTATTCTCCTTTCCGTTTTTTTTTATTCGATCTTCTTAGCTTTCTGCTGCCATATATTTCACTTCTGATTAGTGCTACGTGCTAGTTATGTCTGTTGACATAAGTAGCATACACCGCACTACTACTACTACTACTACTACTACTACTACCGATTAGGCTCATCCAGTTCAAAAAAAGAGTTGAGCATACAAACTTAATCAGTATCATATATGATTCATTCGTTGAATGACATGGCTTAAAATCGTTTACAATGGCGAAGGTGCATCCAATCTTTGTGTTCTCCTAAATTCTAATTTTCTGAACTCTTCATGTTCCTTTTTTTCTTTCTCTCTCTGCAAATTTATTTCACTTAATTGTACTCCTTGAATAACATGTTCAAACCTTAATCTTTCCGATTACTGCTTATACTTTTACTACATCTACCACTATGGGATTTTAATCTTTGTGTTAATGTGGTATGGTAGCTCGAACTGATGTACGTACGTACGTATAAAGTTCTACGTTGTTGCTGATTGACTAAAGATTCATTTGTAGTTTCTACCTTGTTTTATGAATAATTCATATTATTAATATATATATTGGTTAATTATTTATTTATTATTTTCTGGTTACAGTTATATGAACATTCACAAACTAATGAAATAGATGAACAATTAATATCTAAATCAAATTTACTTTATAAACAACATTATTGTAATGAATGTAATTGTACATTTAAAAGTGCATATAATTTGAAACGTCATCAAAAAATTGTACATTTACATCAATATCGTTATTTTTGTGGTTATTGTGAATTTCGTACTGGTGAACGTTTAGCATATGAAGAACATTTAGCAAGACATTTTTGTGTGAAACAATTTATTTGTGAAGTAAGTATTATAGAATTTTTTTTTATTACTTTATATATAAAATAATAAAGATTAATTCAGTGAAAAAAGTTCTCTTTTTGATGGAGTTTTGTTTTCTGGTCATGGAGCTTCAGGTAGAAGTTTGTGCTGGTAATGTCGTTCAGAAGAATGATGAAAGCTCCACGACCAGTCCATGCAGCTTAGAGAACAAAACTCCATAAAAATCATCTACCTGAGCCTACAAATCTTCTCCACCATCACAAGGGTTCTGTTTTCGTGCGAACTCGTTTTCAAAGCTGTACAATTGTTGTTGCCCCGGTAGGAGGGAAGTAGTGGGACGTGCGGCTGCTGGGCGGACATCGGATGTAGATGGCTCAGCAGGCTGGTGGAGCACGGGTGTTAAGCGTCCCAGGTGCCCGGTGGATGTCGGATGTTGTTGCCCCGCAGGTCGACGGAGCTATGGAGGTAAGCGCACCACAGACTCGACATTTTGACGGGGAGCGCAGCACAGACTGCAGAAACGAAGAATGTGGCACGGCAAGCATGAACCATCACAAAAACGACTGCTTTAAAGAGGGGACGAGTGTGCTGCGTGCTACTTATATTGATATAAGTAGCATATGACGCGAGTCAGGAATGTAATGTCTGGCAGCAGAAGATGGGGAAGATCAAGAAGGGAAGTGCGGGAATATAAAGCAATTAGTATGGAAATACAAGAACAACGAAGTTCGAGACAATTATTGAACATTTTGCAAATTAAGTATTATAATATGGTTTTTCTATTTTAACAAGTAACTCTGTAATTTTGTGCTAAATATAATTCGGTGGTCCCCACCCGTGTTCTGTTCACTACACAATTGCAAATATATATATACTTATTGTCTCAGGATGATAATAATGCTGATAATAAATTTCTGTTAGACATGGTGACAGTAAGGTTAAATAAAGAAAGGTATTAAAGACGGTTTTTATAAAACAAAGTTTAATAATCGTTTGATTGTTAAGGGCTTAAGTTTTCGTCAAAAGATTTTATCAAAAATTTACCTGCTCATATGGAGCTAGGTATATAGGTCGTTCGATGTGTACTTTATCCAAAAGAATTCAAGATAATTATCCGGCATGGCTAAATAGAGTAGGGAATGGTTCAATAATCGAACACTTTGTGAACACAGGTCACTCAATCAAGACAGACTCTGTGCTCAAAGTCATCTACAAGGCAAGGAGAAGTCTTCCAAAGACAATTAAATTGCATCTTCTTTGCATTGGTGAAGTGTTATATCCCGATGAGAATAGTGAATGGTAACTTTTGGAATCCATTTATGGATCAATACTATACGTATATTTTTATCGTATAATTGTTAAATAACTAAACTATTCATATTCATGTCCCTCTTATTATGAGCTTTATTTTCATCTATGAACTATTATTATACGACTTACCATTCTTGAATTATGCCCTGTCTATTAATTACTACCTCCCTCATTCACAGCCATATTTGGCTAATTCTTGTACAAATGTTGTTTCATATTTTATGGTACGGTGTGGTCTGTCTGGTTAGTATATAAACTCAGTATTTTTGAAATAAATTATTCATATCGCAGAGGCTGAGATCGGTGTTCTGGAATTAACAGGCTGGGCTAGGCAGAAGCGCGACCGATAAGGACTCTAGGCTGCTCGTACAGGTTTTATGCGTCATTGGTCCAAGTCGATAATTCGCGGTCCTCTAATTGGCGGTACCATCATATTATACATTGATAGGGGCATAAGTTATAACAATTGGCGACGGGGTGAAAAACAAAGAACTAAAGGCACAAAACCACAAGTTATAACACGAAGTATTAGCCATACATCTGGAAAAATCAGAATTGTGTGTGCAAAAAAGATTGGTGCAACCTCTTCTTCTACCATGTTCTTAATGTCTTATAATTTTTTTCCTCTTTCTTCGTACTGTTCTTTTACAGCCATCTGCTTCACCTTCCATCTTCCCCTTAAATCTCACCTCCAACTTGTTTATTTCTGTTTCTACGATCATCCTGATTACATTTAATCTCAATTTCAACATTTTATCTTATCATGCTGAGCCATCCTTTCCCCCACCTATCTTTTGATGAACACTTAAGCCATTAAAAAGCTCGTGACTTAAGTCAATCCGCACAGGATGCACATAGGCCAACAAGAAACCGATCAATTGCAGTCTTAAATAACAATGGGAAGATACAAGTAAAACAACACCAAGTGAATTCAAACGATCATTAGTTTCCCTGTTTGTTTATTTTATTTCACTGTCACCATGTCTAACAGAAGTTTTTTTATCAGTATTATTATTGTCATCCTGTGAAATAAGTATATGTATATTAGCAATTGTACAGCTTTGAAAATGAATTCGCCGAAAACAGAACTCTTTTCGCTGAACTAATCTTTCTTATTTAATGTTTTAATGGATATATTCCGTTTACTTTTTTATATTGTTTTCTTATTTTAATGAAAATGATTATTATTATTATTGTTTCAGTGGCTGTTCATTGTAGGATTACTTAATGATCAATCTGTTTATTCCTATGAAGTGTAAATTATCCGGTTTTAAATTGATAATATCATAGATCTGATAAATTTATGGCTAAATAAGGTTGAATTTTAGATGTTTGGTTGTAGGTTCCAACTATCTCTTCATCGAATTTAATTTCAAACAATAAGTAGTAGTATTGTTTATCTACAAATTAGTATATACACTAAAAAAAGTGTGGATTAGAGTTGGTTACACAAATTTGTTCTTGGTTAATCCAGTTGGATTATTTATTTCGAAATTTTTCAGCATAATTTTTCCTATTATTTCCCTCTTAATTATTTATAATAAGTAAACATCCATTTTCGCCTTTAGTTCCTACAAGAAAGCGAAATTCCTCCTTAAGTTTTCATACTGATAATGAAATATCAAATAAGTGTGTTTTAATACATACAGTGAACTGATAATGACTTCCTAGATAATAGTTTGAAGTGTTTGGTTGTTCAACTTCGATTTAGATCAAGAGGCTAGAAATGTAAGCAAGAGCTTTTTACTTTCGAATTATTGATAAAAGGATTCTATATACTTCCGGATGATGTTTATTAAAATTTTTTGAATGAATTTCGAACTTAACTAGTCAGTTTACAGAAAGGTATGTCGATGTATTAGTTCCTAGATTTTTTAAGAAGATTTCAAGATACATTGACTGTCATACATCTTATGTTGAATATTAATTTTAAAGAATCATTTTCGGATAAATACAATAATTATAGTATTACTATTGAAGATTATTGCGATCAGTTTTTTGAGATGTTAAGTAAAATAGCATGAAGTCTGTCACAACTGGATTAATAGGTTCAGTATTTGCCTTTCTCTAGAGAGTATGTCTTCACTTCATACATTTTTATTCCTTCTTTTTGAACCATATTCAATTATGAGCAGAGATTGATGGTGGTTGGCAGTGAAATCTATAACACTGAAGGTACCTGCATCCCAGAGTTGATGTTCACTCGGACACTTGAACCCAGTACCGTTCACGTCAGGCACTATCGCGTTATCCACTTAGGTAATGAGTTCAAATAACCGCAGTTTGTACAATCGGGTGAAGTTTAATTCATTTTTGTATTGGTTGTTTGAATCTTCCTATTAACGTTTAGAACTGCTATTGATCGATCTCTTATTGGCATACATACATTGTGTGTAGATTGCTTCTGTATTGCCTTAAGTAACAAGCTTTATGAACAGTCTTGAACATCATTAGAAAGATTCCAACAAACAATACAAAAATGAATTGAACTTCACCCGATTGTACAAGCTGTGGCTATCTGGACTCATTACCTAAGTGGATAACGCGATGGTGCCTTACGTGAACGGTACTGGGTTTGAGTGTCCGAGCGAACATCAGCTCTGGAATACCGGTACATCCAACTGACGAGTCCTAAATAGCACGAAATGCATCTCCTGAATTTCACTACTACCCACTATCCATTATCTCTGCTTAGAATGTTTGTGACTTAAAGCAATATCGAGGTGATATGCACAGCATGCACATATGCTAGTAACAGACTGATCAATTGCAACCCTTAACGTCAATGGGAAGATTCAAACAGCTAATGTATAATGAATCATATTCTTCAATGTTTATCTTTTCTTATTATTTTGACCTATTTTAAGCTTTATTTATTCTGTAAATCTCATTGTGCTTACTCAGCATGTCAATTAAGTAGTATTCTAGTGTTATGTTCTTTTTTTGGTACTAAGCTATGCGTTGATTATGATTAACTTAATGTCAGTGAATTTTGTAAAGTAATCAATGTATCAAATTCTTTTCCGTTATCTTTTCTATTTGTTGTATTTTTGGATTACTCTATAGATATGTGATGCACGTTTTACAATCAAACATGAATTAGATGATCATAGAGCATTTAAACATTCGAATGAACGAAATTTCGCCTGTACTGAATGTGATCAGAGATTCAAGGTGAGGGATATTCAGTTTAGTTTTTCAATTTATTATATGTCGTTATTTGGGACTGAATTCCTATCAGTAATATTTGTTATATTTACATCATGAGTGGACTGTTTCGATATAATTAATAATAATAGTAATAAACATCATACATGTGTAACAAGTGAGAGGCTTTGTGTACTCAGTCAGTCGGCTATAACGTAGGACCGGGGACATATATGCATCGCTCCAAGTTGCCATACCTCATTAGCACAACAAGATGAATACCGGATTCATAGTGGTAGTAATATATACTAGAAAGGTTGTATATAAGGACATAGAACAAGAAGAAAGAATTACTTCTTAAAAAGAAAGATGTGATGCGATTTTAATCTCATAGTTTAAGGGAGTGTATACACCTACACCATTATGATCGATTCTGAGCCATGTCATTCAGAGTCTCCAACCATTGGTTACGATAGTCACGTAGACCCCAACCAAGTAGTCTACATCTACTAACATTGTTCAAACCAGAAGTTAGTGACTTCAAGCACTGATGCCGCCCCTAAATCTTTGAGCGTTTAATGCGTATGCTACTGGATTCGAATCCCAGTGTAAATATCAACATTCAAATGTAGACACATTTTGCTGGCAAGTCGTAAATATTACGAGACACACATTCTGGAATTCATTGCTACAATCCATCTTTCTTTTATAAAACGTGTGTTCAATGTTTGCGTTGAAATAGTGGAGAAGATTTGTAGCTCAGGTGAATGATTTTGATGGAGTTTTGTTCTCTGAGCTGAATGGCTTGGTCGTTGAGCTTTCATCGTTCTTCTGAACGACATCATCAGCACAAACTTCAGATAGAAGTGAAGTGTTCGAATTTCTCCATATGCGTTTCACAGCTTGTTCTGTACACCTCGATGTTGATTGGTTCTTATTGACCTTAAATTTGTCATTGTTTGCTTCTTTGTTTTGGAAGCTCCACGACCAAACCATCCAGCTCAGAGAAAAAAACCCCATCAAAGGATTAACCTTAGCCTATTATAAATTATAGTTATTTCATTAGTTTATCTGATTTAACGGTGAAGATAGGGAAAAGGTATTTGGACTGTTATGTTGGTTGAAATTTTATCTCATGGTTGTTGTGTTAACAATTATCCTCACATTAGTTGAATTATGGTTAACTTCTCATATATCCTCAGTATAACGGGTGGCCTATTTGCTAAATGACGTACTGATTAATGAACGACAAACAAGATCTTAGCATTTATTAGTTTATAATCAGAAAACGAAGGTAGAAAGGAGACAAACTATCTTTTGTACTTTATTTATCCATAATTCAAAACGTATACATTCAGTTATATAGTTAAAATTTCTGATTTCACCGCAATACATACTGAAAAAATACAATATATACACATTATTTAGCTATACAAAACCCTGAGTAATGGGGGAATAATTAATTAATGACTAATCTAGAATAAACAAATAAAATCTTTGATTAAGATCATAAACCGATTGATGTTAGATGACCATTGAAAACCTGGGAGCACTTGACGGCCGTTTTGTCCTATCGTGAAACTCCTCTCCTAGGATTCGAACCCTGGGCTTCCCGTCTCGCGCGTGAACGCTAACCTGCTGGACTACTGAGCCGGCCGGCATTCAATGGTGTTAGAGTCTAACATCAACCAATCCACGAAGTTGCGCGATCACCTCCTATTGTACTGAGGTAGATACCTGTCTCTACCCGACACGGATTAGCTCCACTGGTCAAGGCTTCTCACTAGAACTTTGAGAATTCCCTCACGAAGCTAGTTATTAGTGAGCACACATGATAATTATCAGTATAAGGGTTGTGGAGATTATTTAGTTTTTGATTAAGATCATGAAACGAAGAACGAAGATTTATAGGTTAAGCGAAAGCTTAGAAATGGGAGAATATTAAGATTCAACAGTCTAAGCATCTACTAATTATACAATAAAAATATAGACGATAATCTTTCATATAAAATAGTTCAATAAGGTATACTTTCATACTACTTATTCCATTATATCATTATCAATATGTAATAACCTTCAATAATCAAAATATATCCAGTTTTTTGAGTATAAATAATTGTACTTTCTAATTATAGAAACAAAATTATTATATAGTATTCATCAAAATAGTTCGATTTCTTCATCACTTTTAACGTATATATCAGATTTATGTTTTATTATTCAACAGTAAGAAATAATTTTTTTTGTGTCCGTCTGTATACTTTATCATATACACACTAAAGATTGAATTGATGAGGGCGATGAAGGAAATGAAGATTTCGAGTGAAAAGAGTATAATTGTTTGTGTTTATACTGTATAGAGGTCATTGTTTTAACATTATATGCATTTGTAATCTATTAACAAGCAAATAATAGCGATAGAAAAATGCAAAATAAAATTCAACAGTCTCTCGTCACCCCTCTTTTTTTCTTCTAAAAAAGTAACTTATGATTGACATGGTAATATCATCGTCGTCATTATCATCTCAATTATCATCACTACTTATTTTTCGCATCATTTAATTAGTATATATATATATATATATCGTCAGGGTGTTTGTTTGTTTTGTGTGTGTGTTTGTGTTGTAGGGTCTTTTATTAAAATACATTTATTTAACCATGGAAACATCGTATTTTATATCACTGATTTTAAAATGATAAGATATTAAACGAAGGGTGTATTCAATCACTATTATTCTATTTGAAACAATGATTTTAACATAGATATAATGATAAATTGTTGCGAAAATTCATATTTAATATCGATAATGCTACCACTGCCACCACTAATAACAATAAACACCAACATATTTTTAAGCAGAGATGGATAGTGGCTAGCAGTGGAATCCAAAACGTGCGTTTCGTCCTGTTTGGGACTCGTCAGCTGGATGTACCTTTATTGCTAGCCACTACCCATCCATGCTTAGAAAGCTTGTGACTTAAGGCTATATCGAGGCAATCCGCACAGGATGTACATAGGCCAACAAGAAACTGATCAATTACAGTCTTGAATAACAATGGGAAGACATAAATAAAGCAACACCAAGTGAAATTAAACACCAACATGTATGTGAAAATGAAGATTTGTAGCTCAGTTTAATTATTTTTTTATCATGTTGCCTTCCATGAATTAAATAACTTAATTATAGAGTTTTATTTATTGCTCTGTAAAAGATGAGGGTTATACAAGAGGGACTAGCCAATGGAAAGTAAGATTACAATGATTATGTTTACACCAATCCAAGTGGGTACTCGCTTTCGTGATTGTGTTTAAATCCCTCATAATTAATAAGAAAAAGTTCATTGTTCAGTAATTTGATTCACATATTATTGTTTGATGATAACTATTCGACGGAATTTTGGCGAGTTTTAACACAATTTGTTCCTGTTGCCTTGATTGTTATTATTCATCCTCGTAGGTTAAATTGACTTCCGTTATTTTTGTGTTCAAGTTGATTATTTCGTCCTGTTGATCTTTGATCAGATTATTGCTTGACCTTTTTTAAACAGCTTGGTAAATCAGATCTAAATTGATCTGAATGTCATTCTTCCAGAAATTCTCCGACATTTATCGAATTACCACGATCCAGAATTTCAAAATCCTCCCGGTAGAATTTTTGTCCATAGTTGTCTACATGCATCAATATCATATCACATCGTTTAGCTGATAGTTTGTGTTCGTGCGTGCGTAAGTTATGGAGGCGTCCACTCATGAAATGACCAGAAAATTCCTTTTTATTTGAAGCAAGCGTTGATGGTTTCCAAAGCGACAACCAAAGCTCCTCACTTAAATCATCTAGCTCAGAGATATCAGCAACTCCATTAGCATCCATCTGACTTGAAGATCTCCGTCTGTCCATTAGATTTCCAAATGCAATTATGATACCTGCAACCAGTACAATAGTTGGTGTTACCAACTGATGAATCTGCACAACAGAAGTTTTATCTTTTGCTGAAGGTTTTCTGATTGATTTAGTCTCTACCATGTACATTGGCTCAGATGGAACATCTAACCTTAGTGTATTACATTTGGGTTTACTTTTCGAGATACTTATAAGGATGAATGTTTGTAATCAGTTATGCTAGTTGATTCAATTGTAGTGGGATGTAATTTTAATTATTGAGCTAAAGATGATCATAGATGAGTTTGTAATGTTTTCGTTCATTATGATGTAGACCAATGGAATTATCATATTGAATTTCATATTATGAACTATGTAGTTGTAAGCATATGTGTGGTATGGTCTTGAATGTTCCATCATCATACAGATGATGACACTGCTTTAATTATTCCAGATTCTGGATTGTAGAAAAGATCAACATTTGAGTGACTTAGACGAGTGTCCATCTTGGGAATTAATCGATAAAACTAGATATGCATTATATTGGTCACTATTCAATGGTCGATCAATGTCATAATTATTAGTAGTATATTTTGTTTAGTGTTTATCATATTTCACTTTTTCTTTATTTTCAAAAGACTGCGGGTACACTATGGCGACATAAAAAAACACATGAGAAACGTGTTTATCATTTGTGTCCAATTTGTTCAACATCATTTACACGTTTGTCAAATTTAAATCGTCATCTCTTACGAACCCATAAACAACAAAACCATCACCAATCAATCAATAACCACAATGAATTACTTATGATGGATTCTAATAAGAAATTATCAACAAGTCAACGTAGCAGTTCATTGAATAATAAACAAAAAAGGACTAAAAGTCGTCAACTATGTAGCAAAGTATTAAGTAATATAAATAATCATGAAACTAGTCATTTGAATCAAAATCATATATCATCATGTCAACAAACAGTTGAACAGGTTATTCCTGTTAAAATCATTACGGTATGTCAATTAGTTTTTAAAAATATATTCATTCGTGTTTTATTCTTTCTGTGATCGACGTCACGAAATGACTTTAAGTAGTTGGATATGTGACTTAGTTTTTAAGAGGTTCAACTTTCGGTTGCTGGATTCTAATTTCGTACCCCTATTCCAACCGGGTAGTATCACTAACCCTCACACTTCAAGTATAGTTCATACTAAATTCCCAGGTGGTCGAGTTAATTTAGTTTATTAGGCAGCTGTTAAGAATTAGGAAAAATCAAATAACTATTTCACTTTTGTTTCAAACTCTTGAGTAGCGAATAACCATGACTCGAGATAGCGATTAAATTCAGACTCTGCATTGTTTCATAACCATCGCCTAACTTTCAGACCACTGAATTTTCATCTGTTGGTCAATCTAACATGTTGCATGAGCAACATTCATTACCGTTGGTAATCTTCGACATGTTTGAAGCTCATTAGTCACGTTTGTTTTACTATAACTTCATGAAATTCATCTCAAATTTAGTCATAAATGAACAAAATTCTTATAAGTATTGATATTTGTCCGTGTATCTGCGTAAATATGAAATGAAATATTCTACTCTTAGGAAGTAATGACTTTGGTATTACGCTTTGAATTATACATGATTAATTCAAAATCTACTTTTCTGCGATCATAATGTATCAACTTGACTCAGTGCATGAAACAAGAGGGAGATATAGGACAGATTTTGCTTGTTTTTAATCTAATTAAATGTACTGAAATGATGGTAATGAGGACGAATGCATCTTATTAAACAGGAAAGCCCGATTGTTCCTATCAGATACTTTCTGACTTGTGAGACTGTAACAAGAGATTATCAAGTGGCCTGTGATTGTGAATAATTAAAGTACCATTTTTTAAATACATTTGTTGCCAATTGGGAATTACAATATCAAGGTAGATGAGTGCTTTACACTGATTGACCTGCCAGTAGAGTCAAACATCCATTCACAGACTATGCAGTAGCATGAATTCAAGGTTGACATCGAGAAGCTTCCACTTTTTTATTTAAACTAAACAAGAACGATAATGTTTACAGACTGGAATGAATCTATCATTACAGAGTTGTGGAGATTCTTGAGTTTAACTTGATATCGTGAATGGATCAATGTTAGACTCGGCATTGCTGAGGAGTCCCGTGCTAGGACGAAACGGCCGTCCAGTAATTCCAGGTTTTCAATGGTCGTCTAACATTGATCCATTCACGATATCAATTTGAAATGAATTTGTATTTTGTTGCTTCCTCATCAGCCATATCTAGGTTAAATTTTTGGGAGCGATTCTATAAAGTTCTATCTTAATTGCTAGCGAACTGGAGTGCTGTTATTTGTTTTATTCACTTCAAATCGTTTTTTACATGCATAATTTATTGTTTTAATTTACATTGAGAAGGCGGGTTTATTAACCGTATATATATGCATTTAAAATATATTTTTAGCCACATTTACCTGGATCTGACTTATCGTCAAATCATCAAACTTTGATGAACATTATTCCTGATCAGGATTCGAGGTCTTCCAAAATAATCAATATTTCTGATAATATCGATAAAAGTATTTTAATCAATCCGACTATTTCGACTTCATCTTCTGACACGTCATCATCATCATCATTACCATCAACCATACCAAAAATATTGCCAACACAAGATCACGTCATTGTGACAACAGAATGTTCTATTATTCCAACTAATGCCTCTGGATATCAAGCAGTTAATCTTGACAATAGTTCTACTGTATTTATGTTGAATTTTAGTGATTTGAATGCAAATAGTCATGCGTTTTTTGAACCCACCGATGTACTTAGTGACAGCCATGATAATCTTCAACACAAAATGATGATAGCAGTTCGTGATCCTGTTTATGAACAAACAACAGCGTTTCCAACTTCCTTAGTTGTTTCTTCTTCTCTATCATCGTCGTCCAATGGGACACTAACTTCTTCAACGTTGTCATCATCACCGAAAGTATCTGGAACCACAATAACTTTACAGTCGAATTTATTATTACCTATTCAACTGACTACTAATTCATTTTCTGCGATAACCACATCATCGCTTAGTCATAATAACAGTGTAAACTGTGATGTGATCACAAATAACAGTGATACTAATTCTTGGTCTACAATGATATCTCGTCAACTAGAACCTAGTCTATGTTATTTAATTACAGCTACTGAAACGATTGAAAACGGTGTTTTATGCAGTCACGGTAATGATACCACAAATACAGTTGCCATAACTACCACTACTTCTACTACTACTACTAATAATAATAATGATAATAATAATAATAATAACAGTAATCCTACTCAAATCAGTGGTAATCTTAGTCATGATCCAGATGTCACTGACCTGAATGTTGATCATAATGATGACGTTGTTAGTGGTATGAATATTATCGAAGATACACCCCACTCAATATCGTCTGTTGATATTTTAGATTCGCTTCAAACAGATATGGTAGATAATATGATGAATGGGACCGTATTGAAAATTGGTTCTCAGTCTCCACAGTTGTCATTGGCCAGTGGTAATTGTATTTTCTATGACACACACTGTTCGTCAACTTTAACAACCACACATTCTTCGGTTTCTGTACCAGCTTCATCTTCATTGTCTTCCTCGTCTTGTCCTAACTCGTCTTCATCGTCATTTACGCCAATCAATCAGTCGACATCGATATGGCGTCCTGTTGACTGTGAAACATCAATGTTGAATAAACAAGAAAATCGTCCATTTCAAGCTGGTATCACTTCACATAGCTCCATAATTAATACAGCTAATAATATTCATAACAATAATCATACTAATAACCATAATGCAACATCAGCTCCTTTCACTGGTGATGATGGGGATGCCTATCCAGTGGAATATTATGACCAGCGATATCATCAGATTCAACATGTGTTTCCACTTATGTCCAAAACACATGATAGTTACATTTACGATGGTGGTAACCATGGTGATGATGATGATGATGTTGATGACGATGATGGGGAAGATGTAGAAGAAGAGGACAATGACTATACTGGTTTGGTAGACAATCATGTTTCTGCTAACAATCTAACTATCAGTAATAACAACAAATCCCATCAAATAACGACAGATTTACTGGATACTAGCGTAATGCTCTCATGGAATCCAACAAATAATAACAATAATAATCATTCAACAGAATTCTTAGATTATCCTCATTATTCTCCGAAATTTCCATCACCAGATCCTAACAATTTGTCTCCTTCATCAATTCATCTTGATCGACAACAACATCAACAACCATTTGAATTGCTAAATTTTCCACAATCTCGTCATGATCAGATAATATCAAATCCTGTAACAAGTCTCACTGGAGTTCTCTCTCCTAGCTCTTTGTTATCACCATCATCATCTATATCGACGTCAACGCCATCATCATCGTCTCTGTTGTATGAAAACAACTTCAATGATTGTGCAAACTTCTTAGGACAGTTCTATCATCACAATACATCTATTAGTAATATCAATCTGTCATACAAGAATAGTTATAATACTTTAAGTAATACACCAAATGTCATGCATAATATAGAAAATACTTGTTATCCTTCTGTTCAGTTAAATGATCATGATGAAATTCCAGATGTTACAGATCAATGTTCTAATTTTTCCGTTGGATATTTGATTGGTCATTCAACTATGCCTCCATCATCATCGTCATCTATAGGATCATCCTCTTCTAGATGTTTACTGTTACAAACAGGAGAAAAAACAAAAATTATATCATCAACTTGTCAGTCTTCTACCGATACATCTAATTTAATTACCGGTAATATAAATTATTTAAATTCTCCACAATCATCTTTCACATTATCTGATCATCATAATCTCACTCAACAACAACATGAGCTTACATCAATATCCCAGTTAAATTTCTCAAAAGATCCTGTTGATTATGAATTTGTTATTTAATGATCATTTGAATAATGACTAATTTATCTGTATAGAAAAAGATGATAAGTTCAGGTAAACGTGTATGAAACAGAGTTTTCTTTTAATGAACTTATTTTATTATTTAATGTACATAATTATTTTCTTATTTATTCTTTTTTTTCTCTCGTTCAATTAGTAACTAATTGTTCTGTTTTGATTTTATTTTCACAATTAAGTCAATTAAATCAATAAGTTAATGATAATGAAAATACAAAACAGAACGTACTTTTATCATTGGGGGTGGGTGGGTGTTTTTTTTTCAATGCAATAATATGTTCAATTAAAATGTGAACAAAATATAGAACATATCATAATAGAATTCTCTGTTTGTTTGATGTCCTAGTGATTCGTACTATAGGACTGATCCCTAGAAGTACGATCGTAAGCTACTAGTATTTGACCATAGATGCCTTAGAAATATTGCTCGCATCTGTTGGGATCACCGGGTAAGTGATAGTGAGGTGTTAGACGCTGGGTATTAAGTGATGATGGTAAATCAGTTGATGAAGTTGCAAATCTTCATAGACTGAAATGGTTGGACCACGTGTTGCGTATGCCTGAACACGGATTACCACGACATACAATCCTGACTAGTGTTGTAGACGGATGGAAGAAAGTTAGGGTCGGCCAAACTAAAACGTGTCATCAGAACCTGAAGTCACTAACTTCTAGTCTGAGCAATGTTGACAGATGTAGACTACTTGGTAGGAGTCCTCGTGACTATCATAACCAATAGTTAGAGACTCTGAATGACATGGCTCAGAATCGATCACAATGGCGTGGGTGTATACATTCTTTGTCTTCCTTTAAACCATGAGATTAAAATCGCTTCACATCTTTTTGTTTACGAACTAATTCTTTCTTCCTGTTCTATGTCCTTATATGCAATCTTTTTTATATATTACCACCACTGAATTAACTACTATGAGTTCGGTGTTCATCTTGTTATGCTAATGGGGTGTGGGAACTTGGACCGATGCATATATGTGCCTGGTCGTACGCTGTCGTTGACTGACTGTCTGAGAATTCCCTGTTTTCAATAGAAATCTCATTCATTTGTTTGAGTTTAATTTTTCATTATTTCCTTGAATGTCAGATTAATCAGGTACCTAGTTAGTTTATGTTTTATCGTCTGTATAGTATGTTCGTTCCACCAACAAAATATGATGATCGTAATCCTTTCGATTATTTATTTATTTGAATACAAATATTGGTACAAAGGGGCACCGAATATATATGCTCCACACAAATCGGATGATTTGTACCTGAATAAAAACAGAAAATGGTTAACATGAAGCTGTGAACCCTGGCCTATTTGTCTTTTATAAACAAAACACATCGCAGTTGTCTACATATTTAAGATTTTGCCAAATATTTACTTAGAGGATTATTGTACAATATTGTGGTGTGAGCTACTTTTATCCACATAAGTAGTATATAACGATAGTTAGGAATAGAATGTGCTTCCGTAGAAGATTGAGAAGGAAAGAACGGGAACTGAAAGTAATTTGTATGAAAATGCAGGAACAATGAAGTGTGAAACGATTGACTGATATTTGCGGAGGGAATAGCCAAGTTTGAGACAATTAATTGATATTTCGCAAATGTAGTATTTCCTGTATGGTTCTCAGATTTTAGTGAAATATTCTGTAATTTCGTGTTTAAATACATTCGATTGCCCCCACTTGTGTTTTCGTTCCCGTCAATACCACATCAACACAGGTAGATGAAATTATCAAACCATGTCAGAACAGTAGGAATAGTAATACTATCAACAGTGATAGGAAAGATTAGGCAACAGAAAATATGATTAAAAAAGAATGAATGAATTCATGGGATAAAAATTATGATATAATCTTTAAATTGGAATAAGAAAAAGAATGGATTTATCTACACCATTATGAGTCATTTCATCCAACGTCTGTAAACATCGTTCATGATAATCGCACAGACTCTAACCAAGTAGTTCCCATCTACCTACAAAGCTCAGTCCAACTGTTATTGACTTAATGAAGTAGTGACACATCTTGGTTCAACCACCCATACTTTTCTACCACTTTACTCCTACTACAGCCATAATTGGAAACCGACGTAGGATGTGTCCTATCCACTTCAGTCAATTAAGAATCACTGCTACATCAACCAATTTACCATCTGTATCTACACCTTATGCCCAACCCTAACATATGCAAACGAATTTTCGAGAAGATTAGTGATCAAACTAGTAACACACGGATGTTCTTTATCTTTAAAGATCACATTTGTGTCCGTAAACTAGAAAGTAACGAGCTGCTGCTCAGTTTGCAATATGTCATTCCTTTGATCACATTCCTAAGTTTCCATAGAAATCACAAGTTCAAGTTATATATACCTTACATGACTTCATGTTAATATTAGATCTAAACAATATCTTATAACGTTAACTGATATGAGAATACATCACTTAAACTACTAAGGTTAACAATACCTAAACCATCCAAGAATTGCAAAATATCATAATATATTGCGAGCACAGCGGACAGATGCATTCCAAGTAAGAGATAGAGTCAGACAAGGCTGTCTACTCTCCCTCTTCCTCTTTCTTATGGTGGTTGACTGGATTATGAAGACCTTGACATCTGAGGGAAAACGCGGAATACGTTGGACAAGTCATAACCAATTAGACGATTTGGACCTCGCAGATGACCTAACCCTCCTATCGCATACACACGAACAAATGCAGATGAAGACAGTTAGTGTAGCAGCAGTCTCTGCATCAGTAGGTCTCGACATACACAAGGGGAGAATCAAGATCCTCAAATACAACACGGAGAACACCAACCCAATCACTCTTGATGGCGAAACTCTGGAAGATGCGGAATCCTTCACGTACCTGGAAGCAGACGGGAAGCGGAAATGAGGAAGGCCAAAGAACACATTATGTCGAGAAATTGAAGCAGATATGAAAAGGATGAATAACGACTGGAAAGGATTGGATGGAGAGTGCTGGTGGTCGGCCTATGCTCCTCCACGAGTAGTAACAGGTCTAAGTATGATATAATTCATACAATCTGCGTGGAGGTATATTTTATTAACTTTCTTTTACTGGTAGCAACTACTTTGATCGTGTATTGTAAGCAAATGCTCATAAATTTCTCTTCACCTAGGCATCAGTTATCACATGGGGACAAATAATATAAAATTATGATTATATGAATATGTATTTGGAACAAACAGATTCAAACCGTACATTGATATACAATTAAAACAATAACTGACTGGTAGTTAAAAAAGTATCTTCGACAGTGTCTAAAATGAGTATCTTCATGATGTAATGATCTTGTTTAGGGGAAAAATGTAGACAAGAAAATATAAAGTAAAAGCGACAATTAAAAACGAATTCTAGTGATCAATTTTACATTTCTTATTGATCATTTTTTGTTTGAGTTCAACAGTAGTGAATTTACAAAGTTACATGTATCTTGTATCATCACTTGTTAAGTTATATGGTCTTGACTTGTTGCAACCTGGAATTCAATGCATTGTCCACTGTAATTGAGATTATTCAAGTTACATTAGTGTTTACATTGACCGTCGTGCTGTAGATATTTCAACTACAGATCCACAACTTTACGGTGATATTAAAGAATTATTCTCGCATTATGGAACTGCAGAGTGAATAGACAGAGAGTACTTGTCAAGAATACGTGTATGTATACATTACCACTCACTATTCTACACTGGATCAATCGATGTGAATATATGTCAGCTAAGTGGTAAATGAATAGTTTACACAACTGTTAATCGCAATGATAATTGTGTGCTCTCTGGCAACTAGTTTTGATTGACGATCTCGAAATTATGATGTGAAGCTATGCCATATGTTAGATATCATCAATCTTATTCGATGATTGACGTGGGATTGAAACGGTTGCCTACTAACTCTCAACTAAATGTATCATACTAGTCGCTAGAGACGTATTTATCTTGGGTTCATATCTATATGTTTTGACACTAGATGTTTAGAGAAAATCAGTAAATTGAATTACATACAATCCGATACTTTTCATCGATGCCTACCTGAACTGTTGAAGAAGATGATTGTCCCTTTGGGATTTGGACCTGAACGTTGAATGATACCACTGAAGTAACAGAAAATCTTATTCCAGAGATTTCTGCCGATTACCATCAATCACTTTACGTCAAAGAATAGTGTACAGATTGTATAGCCACTTAAACTATTTGCCATATTACAGGTTAAAATCTAACCACCTCAACGAGAACTAAGCATACTTTCATTGACTACTGATTCCTTTTCAAAAAGCCTTCTTACTGAAGCGAAATAAATATCTTTTGTTTCAATTGTTTTATGTAACGTATCCATGACATACATTTATTTCAGCAGTTTAAAAATCCCCATAGAATATTCAAAAATGAAGAATATTTGAGCGAACAATTGTTTTCAGTAACTTCATCATCAAAAGCCAAAAATAAGGCATGGCATTAATGAATTTGACAATGTTACGTGTTGAAAAAAAGGTAAACGTTTGCATCTGTTACGATATATATATACACTTTATTTGCAAATTAGAAAGGTCATTCAATAAAGGTCAGGATGATTTAGAGTAAAGTGTTCAGTCACCATAAGTATAATAGTATGAAAATGCAAAAAAATTGTGTGAATAAAATGCATAGTAGGAGAATTTAATCTTGTCAATTGAGATAATAATAATAATAAGATTGTTGTGTGAATATAAGATGTTATAAGGGGGGGGGGTGTTATCAAGGTAATTACGATCAACGAATTAGGAATGATGAATGTGAAGATTAAGATAGAGATAATCAAAAGTAATGATAATAAGGAAAATAAAGGAAAGGGTAGGAAGTTTATAATATTCAGTCTAGGTATTCGGTGATCCAGTGGTAGGCGGCGGTAAACATAGAGTTTGGATATATTTTTTCTGGATACATAAATTAGGTCTTCTGGAGTTGATCCAGATGGCTTCGGCTATGTAAAGCAGTCGTAATCTGGTTCCTTGAGGTGGATATTTTGGAACTTGATATAAAACAGAAAAAGCTTCCTCTATTTTGATATGATGCTCACTATCTACCAAGTGAGAAAGAATGGTGCTGTTAATCGATTTGGTAACTCCTTTTCCTAACCAAGCTGGTACATGTTCACGAACACGCGTGTTATCTTAAAATACTACTGATTTCCTGTTTGATAACATTTGTCAAAGTGACTTTTAGTCTTATCAAGAAGAAGTGATTTTAATCCTGATCAACCATGTGTGTAATAGTTGCTCACTAAAAAAAGGTTTAGTAGATACACTGTGT